GAAGGGAGATTGTTTATCAGAAATCAGATGATTTGATTAGTCTATTGAGAAGTTTTTACTTGGTTTTACATGGACAGATTGATTCAGTTGCACTTCCTTTAGCAAATACAAATAATCAAGATTATGCTAGTAGAATGTTAGATTTTTGGAAAATGTATGGGAAATCCAACTTATGGAAGGAGTTATTTGAACTTGCTAGAAATTGTAATTATGAAGGGTTAAAGGTTAAGATTGGTGAATTATATTAAAGTTGTAATAATCTATTAATAATATAAAAAGAAAAAACAAATTTGTAATGTTTTAGAATTTTTTTTGCAAATTAAATAACAAATTATATATTTTTATCAAATAATCTATTACTTTTTTAAAAATTTAATTACTTTTAATAGATTATAAAATAGTAATTTTAGTAGGAGAAAAAAGATACAGTGTAGGACAAAAAAAATGAGAAAATTAGTTACATGATCTAAAATAATCTATTTCATCAAAAATAGATTTAATTTGTATCACCTTAATATACAATAAATATTATGTTTATGGTAACATGTCTTTGTGTTGCTAACATCCCTTTGTTTCATGAAAAAATTCTCACATAAAACTTTGCACAATGACAAAAACTTATGACGAAACCCTATTAAATTTGTGGAATTATAGTATATATAATGTCAAAGAATTACATAAACTTACAAATGTTCTACTATTCACAATTTATAGAAAATTGAAAAAATAAAAAAATGGTTTGTTAAAACATGTTAGAGGGAATGGTTGACCTAAAAAAATTACTGCAAGTGTTTTCATGCACTTAGTCAATATATAAGGTATGATACTTCTCTTTTCATAAGAACTTTAGTAAACAAGTTAGAAAATATAGACGTAGAAGCATTATACAGAACTGTTGAAAGACATCTTTCAAGTATTAGTTATGTAAAAAGACTGCCTAAAGCAATGCTAATGTTAACCGAAGTATACAAGTAAAGTATATAAAATGTACATGAAAACATATTAATAACAGATGAAACAAACTATATTTACTAATGAAACAGCTTTTCAACTATTCAAAAATACAGTAAAATAATGGTATAAAAGGGAAAAACCAGTTCAGCGTATGCCTAAAGATTGTACAAAAATTATAGCATAGGGTAGTTTTTGTTTAAAAGAAAAAATAAGTATATTTTATTTTAAACAAATTATGAACGTTGAGTTTTATGTGAAAATTCTTCATATATATGTTCCTGAGATCTTTCAGATGCTTGATAATCATTAGCACTTTTAACAAGACAATGATCCTAAATATACCAGTCATCTTATAAAGGCTTTTCTTAAGAAAAATATCTCAGTAGTTTTAGATTGACCATCAAATAGCCTTAACCTAAATCTGATTGAAAATTTATGGGTGATTATAAAAAGTAAGATAGAGAAACGTATGTTAAAAAATATTAGTGAACTGGAAGAATTTATGGTTGAGGAGTGGTAAAATATTCCTGAAACTGTTCTAATCAATCTTTCAAAGTCAATGAAGTGACGTTATGAATTAATTATTAAAAATAATAAGAATGTATACCATATTAATTTTTTTTAATAAAATCATCTGATTGTTGGGCTTTAAAATAAAGTTAAATTTACGTGATTTATCATAATAAATAAATGCTTAATGATTGATTTTTTGATTTTTATTTTTTTTTATTTTATATTGTATAATGTGAATTTTCTATTGATAATTTTTAAACAAATTTATTAAAAAGATCTTTCTTTTAAATTTTTTTATTTTTAATAATTGGTTAATAATAAATAATTTAAGTAATAAGATATAAAAAGAATACTAATAAAATGTATTACTTATTTTTGTATTATGATAAAATCTAAGATGAAAAGAATTTTATTATCTTTTGATAATTATATTATTTGTATAAGTTTTAAATGTAATATATATAAAAACAAATATAGTATTAATACAAAAATTATATATAGTAATAAGTATTTATAAAAAATAATAATAAATATAATAGTTTTAATAAATATCAAAAGTAATTAATCTTTTAAAAAAAGGTTGTAATTGTAATTATTCTTTATGAATTTCCAAGAAAAATTTTGCAAAGTTAAGGATATCTTTTTAAGTTTTTTTTAAATCTAAACAAGGTATATTTTTAATAATCCAACTTAAGATAATAAATAGTAAAATAATAAGCACTAGTAGACACTTTAAAAAGAACTAAAAACTAATAAAAAACTTTTTACCATTAGAATTTTTATCAAGAAATTTATTTTAATATATTAAGAATTAGCAAAAATTATTTTTAAAATATTAAAAATCATCTAATAAAGAATTATTTTTTACTAAAAATTTTAAAAGAATATTTCAAAAAAAACTAAAATAATAATTGATAATAATGTTGAATAATAGTAAAAGTAGTAAAAAATTTTTTAGAAAATTATGTAAAAATTTATAATAGAGGTATGCTTTGAATCTGATCAATCCAAATATCCAGTCATCTATCCAAAATTTAATTAGATTCAGATTGATCTATTTATATTACTGGATTGACTGGATAGATTATCAGATATCTGATAAACAAATTAGATGGTCAATTTGACTTAGGTAAACATAAATTTTTTTTATTTTTATTTTTTTTTTTTACAATAACAATAATATTAAATCTACGTATTACATCACTCACTCTCTCACACACACACATAATACATACACATATACACATACTCTCTCTTTTTCTCGCCTCTCTCTTCTCTCTCCTCCTTGACCTTTTACTCCAAATTTAACTTGAACAGCTTAAATTCAAATGGTAAGTGCAAAATTCTTCCTTTTTTTATCTTGGAAACGTTACTAACTTTCATTTACTTCTTTTCTTTAGAGAACGCCTTCTTGGATCTGAATTTCAGCTGGGCTATGAAGGTAAGTTAGTGTTTTTATTTTTTCTATCATTGGAAATGTCATTAATATTCCTTTTACTTCTTTTCCTTAGAGGACGCCTTCCTGGACTGGATTTCTACTTGGGCTATGAAGGTAAAGTAGTGTAAAGGATTATTTTTGATTTTCTATGTCTTTAGAACGTCATTAACATTTCTTTTGCTTATTTCTTTAGAGAACATCTTCTTGGACCTGGATTTCAGTTTAGACTATGAAGGTAAAGTGGTGTAAAGAATTCATTTTTGTCTTTAGAACGTTATTAATGTTTCTTTTACTATTTTTCTTTAAGAAACACCTTTCTGAATCTGGATCTTAGCTTAGACTATGAAGATAAATAGTGTGAAAAATTGTTTTTGTTTCTTCTTTATCTTTGGAATACTATTAACATTTTTTTTGCTGCTTTTCTTGTGAGATTTTTTGTTTTTCTTTGTCTTGGAATACTATTAACATTTCTTTTGCTTCTTTTTTTTAGGGAACGCCTTCTTAGACTTGGATTTCAGCTTAGATTATAAAGGTAAGGTAGTGTAGAATTATTTTTATTTCTTTATCTTTGAAATACCATTAACGTTTCTTTTGCTTCTTTTCTTATGATTTTATTTTATTTTTCTTTGTCTTTGAAATGCTATTAATATTTCTTTTGCTTCTTTTCTTTAGGGAACGCCTTCCTGGATATAGATTTCAACTTGGACTATGAAAGTAAGTGGTGTAAAGAATTGTTTTTATTTCTTCTTTGTCTTTAGAATGCTATTAACATTTCTTTTGCTTTTTTTCTTGTCGTTTTTTTATTTTTCTTTGTCTTTAGAATGCTATTAACGTTACTTTGCTTCTTTTCTTTAGGGGATGCCTTTCTGGACCTTGATTTCAGCTTGGGTTATGAAGGAAGTAATGTGAGAAATTGTTTTTATTTCTTCTTTGTCTTTGAAATGCCATTAACGTTCCTTTTACTTCTTTTCTTTAGAAGACGCCTTCCTGGACCTAGATTTCTACTTGGGCTATAAAGATAAAATAGTATGAGGATCATTTTCGTTTCTTTTATCTTTTGAACATCATTAACATTCCTTTTGCTTTTCTTTAGGGGATATCTTTCTGAACTTGGATTTCGGCTTGAGTTATGAAGGTAAGGTAATATGGAGGGTTGTTTTTGTTTCTTTTCTTGTGATTTTTTTTTTGTTTTTCTTTGTCTTTAAAATGATATTAACATTCTTTTTGTTTCTTTTCTTTAGAAGACACCTTTCTGGATCTGGATTTTAGCTTGGATTATGAAGATAAGTGATATAAGGAATTATTTTTGTTTCTTCTTTATTTTTAGAATGCCATTATCATTCCTTTTATTTCCTTTCTTTAGGATACGTCTTCCTAGACTGTGATTTCAACTTGGATTATAAAAGGAATAGATAAATTTCACTTTTTTTTAATTCAAGAATGATACTATAAATATTTCTTTAATTTTGGCATAAAATTTACATACACTTTAAATGTCTAATTAAAAAAGGATAGATTCGCTTTTGTAAAACAATTAAGATATTCTATAAAATTTCTATATAAAGCTTTGTTTATCTAACTTTAAAAAAGATTGGTTATTTCATAAAAATATTTGTTACACATACTCCTTTTTTTTTGATTTATACATCCTTTTTTTTCACATACACACACTTTTTTTTTTTTAATTATTTTTTTTTTTTTTTTGTAAAAAGTTTTCATATTTTTTAATAAATGTTTAATAAATTTATAAACATGGATTCAAGTTTTGTTGAAAATAATCAAAATAATTTAAATAAAATTCAAAAAAAAGAGGAGGGTCACAAAAAAGAAGTTGGGTATGAGATTGGTTTGTATCTAATGATAGAATTACTATATGTCAAGTAGAGGTTATTACAAGTAAAATATGTGGTAAAAAATATTAGCATGAAAGTTCAACAGGCATCTTAATAGACCATTTAAGTAGTAAGCATTAAATAACTAAAAAAACAATTAAGCAAAATTATGTGATAAGAAATAAATTAAATAAATAGTAATTTATTTATTTAAAT